AAGCACAAGTATCTACACCAGAAAGATCAACCTTTATGATGACTCTCACTACATCCCATGCTCATCTGAAATTGTAACATATGCTAAAGAAGTTAGGTTTGTTAATGAGGAAGTGGTTACTCTTCATTAGAGACATAAGCACGAGTATCTACACCAGAAAGATCAACCTTTATGATGACTCTCACTTACATCTCATGCTCATCTGAAATTGTAACATATGCTAAAGAAGTTAGGTTTGTTTTAATTGTAGTACGATACAGATAGTATTGCTTATATTTCAGATGGACCTTATGATCTACCTCTAGGGAACTATCTTGGATTATTTACAGATAAACTTGATGGTCATTAGGATTTGTCACTGTTATAGGATGCTGAAAAGGATGTTATAGGATGTTATCACTGTTATAGGATGCTGAAAAGGATTGAATATGTCTGTTATTTTACTCTTCATGGATGATAAATTTAATTTCTCACTCTTGAAATAACTCAGAGTAAACCCTTTAATTTTATAACAGAACTTTCTGTCGTCATGTAAGTATTCTTAGTTCCTTGAACCACCACTGTCCCATGATGTGAGGCGAAGAAAAACTTGCTGTTATATTAAAGTTTTTCTTCATTACCCATTCAAGCCGTCTCCAGCCATTAATAGTTCCACAACGTATCACTAGACGGCGCGTTGCTAGGAGCGATGTCGTATATCCACGAAGCGGCACCAGAGACTATATTGATAAGATATGTCATCAACTGTTAGGGCACTCGAATCGCAATCTGCGGGTCATTGGTTCGAATCCCCGTTCCACCAAACATGATTGCTTTTTCAGCTTTAGCATGTAACAGAATGGCTGACGAGTTGACATTGACTTCCCTAGTGTAGATAGAAACATGTTGTAGTACAATTTTGAATCCAGATTCATCACTTGACATAATATAAAGTTAATATTTACTATACAAGAGACAGAGTTTTTAAAGTTGTACCATCGGGCAAGAACTTGTCCTGCAAAAGGATGTCCAAATGTAGATGGACAATTATGTCCACTGTTTGACCACCATCATTAAAATCGAGATCATCAAAATTACCAGGAGGCGATGTTAAATGGCTTCTCTTAGCTTGTCCATTATAACTCAGCAAAGTTTCCATGCAGGTCTTATATCCCTAAGAGTTGTGAGATGAGGAAATGAGCTTGTGAGTCAAGTGTACGTACATCCACTTCAGAAAATAACAGATTGACAGAGGCAGAGGTATCTTCATCCTTTTTTATGTCAGTTCCACCATCTGGTTTGAAGATATGATGGTGCTGGATCTAAATATTCATCTCCAGATCCTGATATAGAAAATTCGGTGGGTCCTCTATCAGTCACTGAAAATAATGGATAATATTCGGTCCACTAATCTTCCTCAATCAGGGTCATAATTATTTGTCAAAAAGTCTGGAGTTGATGTTCTTCGTCTCTTGGTTTTAGCTATTCTGAATATGAGACATTTCTGTTTCTCTTTTGTTAAGTAGATGAATCTGTTTAGCATTTCGAGCCAGATTCTGAGCTCCTTGTATTGCCCGTCATTTTCCAGTATCAACAAAATGTTTCTTTGTATAACATCTGATGCTAAATTTATACCTGACTGAACAGCTTGTTTTCCTAATACTAATGCCCCTTTTTTCAGAAATGACATAGCTGAACGAAACAAATCCCTCAATTTGTATCCCAATTCGTGATCCCTTTGCCATTGATTACTAGCATAAAAGGTAAACAGTTTTCTACTTGGTAATCATAATACGTATCATAGATGGATGGTTCTGGATAATATGGAACTCTCGCGTTGTCACAGAGAACGAGAATGAAGCATTATGACGACTCTCCCTTGTTGAAATGAGATAGGTCGACCAATGTCGTCCTTTATATCAACCTCAATAGTTGGAATACTATTTTTAGAAATGGGTCTGTAATGAGGATTTGTAAGTGTTTCAGTGACCATGTCTCCATCTTAACCTTTAACTTCAATGATTTGTAACAGTGGTACATATGCAACACCAACCCTACTTGGTTCCACCAATAAACATGGAGCTAATAAAGTCCACCATGCATGTTAATACTATATTGAGTTACATTGGGCTCTGTTATCATGCAATCAATATCAAATCCAAGTAGTACTGATAGCACGGGATCGAGTGTTATAGAGGCTCCATCATTTACATTCACACTTACTTTGTGGGTGAACGAATCGGAAGTCGGGTTTAGGAAGTGATTCTTCCACTTGGTTTAAGATTTTAAATAAATATTCAGATTCTTTGTAGTTACCTGGCCTAATATAACTGATTACAATAGCAGAGTGAGGGTCAGAAATGTAGGATAACCATTGTTTACTGACACAAATGTTATGTTATGTCAGCTATGTGGATATGTAACTCAGCGACTGCTCCTTCTCACGGAAGCCGAGTTTTAAAATCTGCTTGAAAGCATTTGTGAATGTCGCATCTTTCTTATCCCTGAGTGGGATAACTCACGAATATTTAGAAAACTCGTCAATACATGTGAGTAAATATTCAAATTGATTGTTATATTGATTTAGGCTAGAGAGATCCACCAAATCAGCCTGCCACTGTTCATAGTTTCCTGAAATGATCACTCAGTTTCTAGAAAATTTATATCTTACTGGTTTCTGTAGAGTGTGTGTATCCTGAAAACTTGACCAGACTTTAACCTGTTTTAGAGTGGCAGATCTACCTTACGCTTTCATAGATTTAAATAAAGGCTGTACTCCACCATAACTGGCATGATTATAGATAAGTTGTAGCATTTTGTTAGAAATTATTTGCTATGTCTATATCCCCTACTTTTTACTTTACCATCAACTTTGTCTCTAACTGTAGTAATAATTTGATCTTTACAACAGGCAATGTTAATTCTTAGACAGCTCAAAACATTACTAAGCTTAATAGGCTAACAGCAGCCCATGACGACAGCAAAGAGACAAATGAAGACAGTAAAAAAGAAAAAGAATAAATATAAGTTTCAGGAACATTTGAAGCAATAAAACTTTCAACTAATTTTAGGAGAATACAAATTTAAAAGGAACCCATTTAGATACAGAATGCTTGGATTTTCTAACATGTGTATCATTTTTATATACATACATCTGTCTACATTTCCAACAACTTCTTGGGAAATATTTGTATCTGATAATCTTTCTGCAAATGTTTACCAAATTGTAGGGTTAAAATTCCTCTGTTTTCGTAGCACGTCGTTGATTAGGTCGATTATATTACTGTTTGGGATGGATCTCCAACTAATCTTCACGATCATTCCACGTTAGACCCCCAGTGGAGCATATTTTGTTTAATACAATTTCAGCTTTCTGTTTATATTTCTCAGGAACACTGTCGACGATCTCTAAGTTTTCATGAATCCGTAATTCCGTTTTATTTTTAACATCTTCCATGGCTTGTGAATGAAAGGTCTGATGACCTTGTTGCAGCAGGTTTACCATCTTTGCTTTATCGTCTATGGGTAATGTATCGTTTTGTATGACAGAATTCATATCATTATCTACAGATATTTAATACTTTATGTACTGGTCTTTCTTAAAATATGGGATGATAAAGTGAGAGTGTAAGTTCTTCAGGAATGAGGATCATTTGTTTTGTGTGTTACATATTTTTTAAGTTCCAACAGCTTTTCCAATAACCCATCCTGCCAAACCACGAAATAATAAAATTATTGGTGTTGCGAGTAATGGTAGAAACCAAGATTTCTGTATTAGTAGGTTTCTTTTGTGTTTAACTAATGTTTTCTTGACAGTCAACTCTATCAATAATAACTGGTATCATCTAAGTTTCTGCTTTTGTTTGTTTGTCATGGGAACAGTAAATTAATTTTGAGCTTATTTCTTTGATCTGGTAACGAGTTTGATCTGTTAAAGAGTTGGTTTAGGTAATGCATGGAGCAACTCTTGATGTTGTTTAGCTGTAAGTGTCATGATGAATAAATAAAAAGAGGTTTTAAGTACGACATATAAAACTGTTTATTTATACATCTATAACCTCTACTTTTTTGCACTACAATGATAATGATTGTTAATATGAAATGGGCAGAACAGAGTCGATTTTGGAAGTTGATTAACCTTGGGGGCATCCAAACAATTCCAGATTGTAACAAGGCATTTTCAGCAGACTTCTCAATATCTCTGCTTTCTCTTTTCCCTTTGTATAAACAGCTGTAAACTTTTCTCTAAACAATCTAGCCAAACTCCACAGGTAGTGATAGTCAATGTATCCAGTTTTGCACTGACGACGATCTGTAGCTGAAAAGTATTCACTTGAAAACGGTTGTTTAAACAAAAACACACCTACATATATTGAGTGACTAAACATTTGAGTGCCAGTTCTTTAATTACATATGGTCCATCCTTCAGATAAAATCCTTCTAGTTCTATCTCAGCGACAGTCATGATAATAGCTGTTTTAAATTATTTTGGTACATACAATACAAATTTATCTTCAGGAAAAAGTCCCGTCCTGAGACACAACCATTCAGGCATTTGTGGTTTCAAATCAACGAGTAAGTAACCAATGGTTGCCGTGTTGCATCTTGATAATCTTCTTCAAAATACTTGACATGTGTTGGAAATATCTGTCTCGCTAAAACATTCAACTGAGATTTGACATTCTTGAACAGTATAATGTACTGAGAATTTAAACTAATGTTACGCATTTTTCTACCCTGATGGGATATATTCTGTCCAACATAAAACATTGATATATTCAAATGGTGACTTTCACATGCAAAAAGTTGAGACACTCGTTTATTTTCTCCACTTTCACTCATAAGATCATCATTGATAAAAAGATTTCGTTTATCATACTGTAAATAATCGTGAACTTTTACCACCTAAGCCTTTGACAAATTGAATGTTAGGAATATTTTGTGTTAATTTTGTATACAATGGTTGAAATTCACCATAAAACCATACGATATTTTCAGGAATATATAGATAACTTGACAGTGATAAGCTAAAACTTTGCTTACAACTGTGATTTACCACTTCCTGTTGTGCCTGACACTAAACACGTAAAATGGTGTAATAATGAGAAATAACTGAAACAGAACTCACCTTATATAGATTTGGAAATCATGTTTGAGTGCATTTGTGATCTTCTCTCCAAGGTTCTTCACATGCCCTCTTTTCAGTCTGTAGACCATGGCAAGGAGTTGGTTCCATTAGATGAGAAAATCAATGCCCATATGGTAGAGTATTAAAGTCTGGAAGTCTGTGTCTTTTCATATAAACCGAATGATAATTCTTATTTTCTTCCTTGTTATAAATGGTCTGAGTCTTTAAATTTCCACATATCTTCTTATCACTGCCTTAAGAAAATCTAATGATCACTGCCTTAAGAAAATCTAATGATCACTGCCTTAAGAAAATCTAGTGATCACTGCCTTAAGAAAATCTAATGATCACTACCTTAAGAAAATCTAATGATCACAGCCTTAAGAAAATCTAGTGATCACTGCCTTAAGAAAATCTAATGAAATATTATACCTCAAATTAAGCATTACAGATAATTTAGAACATAATGATAATCACAAAAGTGGTTCTCTATAGACGCTGTCGCCGGCAGAGGGACAGCCGACTCTCGTGACAACTTTACCTACAGCAAAATTTATTAAGGTTTTAGACAAGTACACGTTGTAGACAACGAACAGCGCATGCGTAAATTCCAGACCCTCCTTTTTCGCTCGTGTTCTAGAGTCTAGATTACGTCATCGTCGAGTAACAATCCAAGTATTTTGATTGGAATGTAATTATTGATATACGTGTAATTATAAACTAGTTATTGTGTTCATACTTTTACGTGATTAATGTTTTCTCAAACACTGAAACCAGGGATACTTAATTTGGTTGGTTATTAACCACTACCCATCTAAGGAGAGTTTAGGATTGTGATTCGTAAGGAACGGATGAATCCCCCTATAAAACAATCAACTTTGACCTACGTACTGGGTACGTACTTGCTTGAGGGGTAATTACCAAAAGAAAACTTTTATGGCCTAAATTTAAGTTAACGTCGTTTAAAAAAATATCGTCACATAGTTACATTCCCAGAATTCCTCTGTCATTTTGTAAAAAACAAACAAAAAAAAAATACAATCAAAATCACACGAACTTTGGGAGAATTTGTATAAGATCAGCGAGTCAGTCACTTTACAAATACTACACACAAGTAAAGTTGGGAATTCAAGAATCACTTGAAACTAAGTCTAGCTAACCTTTCTTCCCCTCCTTTTCGAACACCGCGTGGGGGAACAAACAGAAAATTAATTGGAAGAAAAACGAATCCTACTTGAAATACGACCTTAAACTAGAAATCATACGAACATCAACTTTACGAGAAACTAACATGCCAAACGTATCGGATAACAACCAGTTACTTACAGATTCCGGAGTTATACCTCCACTATTATACATCTCCGCACTACAAACCTGTTGCGAAAACTGACGCAAAACTACCTATCATCGCGAGTTATCGTTCACCAGGTCACGTGACAAGCCGCTGACGTCAAGGCGCCTTTTGTTTGTTCTCAGTCCGCAAGGGCTAATGCCAACGTATTACGGTTTAATAGCTCATACGCAGGCGCGTCCCCCCCCCCTTAGGACTGCTTATGGGCGATTGAATTTCTCGGAAAAAAAACAACAACAAAACATTATGCTATTCTTTGTATGTTTGTTTTTGAATTTCGCGCAAAGCTACACGAGGACTATCTGCGTTAGTCGTCCCTAATTTAGCAGTGTAAGACTAGAGGGAAGGCAGCTAGTCATCACCGCCATCTCTTGGGCTACTCTTTTACCGACGAATAGTGGGATTGACTGTCACATTATAACGCCCCCAAGGCTGAAAAGGCGAGCATGTTTGGTGTGACGGGGATTCGAACCCGCGATCCTCAGATTGCGAGCCGAGCGCCCTAACCACCTGGCCATGCCGGGGCCCTTATGCTATTCTAAACGTATGGATTCTAAAACGAATAGAAGTAAAATATACAGATATAATTAGACCAAGTGTTTCCGTAACATTAAAGGCGACCTGTACGCCACTCTAAACGTTTTTTCCAGTCTTAAACGTGTGGCTTTTCACTTAAAAAAGTTTCAAATTCTTTTTTTATTTTATTCTCTGAAGAACTGTTTTTGTTTTGATTGTTTTTTTTTAATTATGCACAAAACTACACATGGGCTATCTGTGCTCTGCCCACTACGGGTATCGAAACCCGGTTTCCAGCGTTGTAAGTCCGCAGACATACCGCTGTGCCACTAGGGGGGGGGTCTCTCTGAAGAACACGAGTTTATAAAATGACGTAATTAATCGTATTAATTAATCTTAATTTACTTAGTTTCACGTTGGGTCATCGATACCTTTACAGAGTCTCAATACTAAAAATCTGGATAAAGCGCAAATAACCCAATCGTGTAGGTTTTCGCTCAAAATAAAATAAACTTTTTAATTAAACCTTTTTTCCCCGAGAAAAACGTTCCCTAAACGTTCTTAAATAAATGTAATACACTGCAGAATCAGAGAATCTACAAAAAAAACAAAGCGTTTCATAACCATCGCTCGACATTAATATTTAGAATATTGAACACAAACAACTTAATCCGGTCGTAATCATCAGGTGATTTAATCTGGTCAATATTACAATCTAATATATATATATATGTATATATATATATACAAAGCCCAAATCAACTATTTGATAGAGATTGAGACATACAGATAACATAGAAGTTTCTTCGTTTTCAATTTCGCGCAAAGCTACACGAGGGCTATCTGTGTTAGCCGTCTCTAATTTAGCAGTGAAAGATTAGAGGGAAGGCAGCTAGTCATCACCACCCACCGCCAACTCTTGGGCTACTATTTTACCAACGAATAGTGGGATTGCAAGTACTTAAAGAAACTACTCCACCACAGATTGGGGCTTATGTCAGAGATGAGGACGTAATAGTTCCACGAAGTGGCACCAGATGGCGATACTGTCTAGAGAGCTAGAGAGAAGGGGAGAGAGAGGTGAGATCATAGTTCCACAAATTCGATGACGAGGAACCCACTTTGAGACTAATAATGGCTGGAGACTGCTTGAATGGGTAACAATTAGGATTTTCTTATGGCAGTGATCATTAGGATTTTCTTAAGGTAGTGATCATTAGATTTTCTTAAGGTAGTGATCATTAGATTTTCTTAAGGTAGTGATCATAAGATTTTCTTAAGGTAGTGATCATAAGATTTTCTTAAGGTAGTGATCATAAGATTTTCTTAAGGTAGTGATCATAAGATTTTCTTAAGGTAGTGATCATAAGATTTTCTTAAGGTAGTGATCATTAGATTTTCTTAAGGTAGTGATCATTAGATTTTCTTACAATCCTGAGTAAATTTTTGTGTGGTCTGTTTCTGCTTTTTGTTTTCTTTCTTGTTTTCATTAGTTGCTGTGGAATAAATTGT